TGTCTGTCATAAGAATTTAAAATAACTTCATCACTTGTATCAAGTAGTTTCCGTGCAATTGCCAGGCACTGCCAACAAAAAACATAGTTATACATTGCAAGTTATATCAAGACATCCCTAATAAAGGAAGAAATAATTTTCTCTTTCCAAAGAGGAGACGCTGCTTTTATTTGATTTGCTACTTTACTTGGATGTTGCAATATTTTTTATTGTGAACACAAGAAAACACAGAATTACTGCCAAAAGTACCTTCACCACAAGTCCATAAGCATTTGAAAGCTTAGTTTTGATAATGAGATTTGTAAACTCGAGAAGCAGACTTATGTCAATTGCGGCATAAGATTGGCATGACCCGGCATCAATCAAATTTTTAATAACTCTGAGTGCCTGATTTGCTCCATCAATGTTCAGTTCCCTGTAAAAGTTGAAGCAAGCACAGGTTGAAGTTAGGGACTAGGCATGACGAAACCGGAAGAAAAACTGCTGAGAGGATGTTATACAGTTGTGTGGAGCAATGTTCCCATTCAAATATTCTATCTGTTGTCACACCTTTATACAGCCCAAATGCTTTTTAGATAAGAAATTACTACTGAACTGCTGTAAAATTAGTAGAGTGCATACATGATAGTATGATAGTGATACAAGGGAAACTCTAGAATTACTCTAGTACCCATGACTACAATACCCTTAACAATACACTAATATTGCAACCATGTTACTCTGCAATAACCATTTTTTCCTTCGTATCTGATCTGAAGTTCTGAACAGACCACAAGGATTGGAAAAACAATGAATCTACCTGGGTGAACTTGGAGTATTAGTAAGCCAAACTTTGATAGGGCTGAGAATGGTTGACAGTGCTTCATTATCTTCAACAATGCTCTTTGCACCTTCTACTGTTTGTGAGGCTTTTTCCAGTTTATCCAAAGCAGTACACTCTGCAACGAAGTATTTAGAAAGTTCATCTAACTATGTACTTCCAGGGAAGAAACATGATTGTTCTGATCAACACCACTGCCCAAAAATACTACCAGAAGTCAGAATTTGGATATTAACTTGCCTGAGGGAGAGCAGCTTTCAGGAATAGCACCAGCAGGTGAACCATGACAGTCCTGAGTTGCTTGCATAGGGCCATCCAGTTTTCTGTTACCTTTAGGTTTATCGGAAGCATTTTCCCTATTGGTAGCAGTAATTTTACCTAACAAACATTAAAATCAGTTCAAGATACAGAACTTATGGGAAAATCCCAAAGAAAAAGGATATAAGTTTATACTATTTAAATGCCTACTTTGGGGGCCAGCTGGGGAAGGTTGGTTCCTTGATGTTTGTGTTTCTTCTGCTTTCTGAGTATCTTCAAAAGGTGCAGGTCGAGACTCCTGAGTAATTTATGTGGTATTCAAGGCACTGATATCTTCAAAGACTAGGATTCCATAATTTATTTAAGCACGTGACCAAAGATACTTACAGGTGCCGATCCCATTGAATCATCTTTGACAAATGGGTGCTCCAACAATGCTGGCCAGGTTAATCTACTTTGAGGCACCTATTACATACCATGCAGCATTAGAAAAGAAAAGGCACAGATGAACTCATTATATGTGATCTGGTGGGGAAATGCCAGTTTATGACCTTGTTGAGTAAACCCTTCAGGAAGCTCTTAAAGTTTGTGCTCATATTATCTGGATATTTTACAGGATCCTAACAAATCGATGAAATCATATAAATCAGTTCTGAAAATTAAAAGACACAATCATAACAAACAGAATAACTAAATAAGCCTGGTAACCTTGACAATGTGCCGGATAAGTGCATAGACCGAATTTGTATAAAAAGGGGGCTGTCCAACAAACAGTTCATACCTGGTCACCAAACAACAAATTTAGCTTGATAGATAGATTATCAAACACAAAGCAGAGTAGATGGCACCAAATTGAACCATGTGCTAAAGGTTAGCAGTATATTAAGATTACAGTTGCACAAGGAATGTGATACAATAGCATCCAGAATGTACTAGTATGAGAAGATTGCAAAAGTAACCAGGTCTAGATAGGAAAGCGAAGATGTACGTACAAGATGACCCCAAGGGACCATAAATCTGCTGTGTGGTTATATGGCTGTTCCCTCACCAGTTCTGGAGCCATATATAAAGGTGTCCCTGCATAGGAAAAGCAAGCTTAGTGAAATGAAAGGTCGGCAAAAAGAGCTCGTCAAAATATATCTGTAGGATCAAACAATATCAATATAGCATATGCCTCATCGATGAGCTACAAATATGCAACAAGGACCAACACAATTCACAGTGTACAGCTATGTGTCTTGGAAAGTAGTTTGAGATAAACTCTCTGCACTGAAAAAAAACTCCAAAACTTGAAGGAAACGTAGACAGAGTTCAGATTCATAAATGAGCTATGTACCAAAATAATACAGATTGAAGGAAGATGACAAATATAACAACACAGCTTAAATGCTTAATCACATAAAAAAAGGGCGTACCTAGTGCAGAGAGCTCCCGCTCTATGCGGGGTCTGAGGAAGGGTGTCAGTGGCAAGCCTTACCCTCGCCTGTGCAATGCGAGGAGACCGCGACTCGAACCCAGGACCTTCCGGTCACAGATGGTAAAACTCTACCGTTTGCACCAGGCCCGCCCTTCAAATGCTTAATCACATGATCATTAAAATTTGCTAATTGCTAAGACGTTAGTTTAGCAAATCAGAGTATCAGAATGTAGTAGATCTACCAACAGGTAACAAGTGGCTAGCAGAAGGCTTTCTATGACTCCAGAGATCTGTGATTGATTATGAAATGAAGTATTCAAATTGGCATATATATATATAGACTTAATCTACAAGATACAAGACAGGGAAACTATTTTTCAAAATGTCAGCTACCATGTGAAGATGAAAAATAGATACCTTTAATGGAGCGCAATACAACAGTGTTAGCTGACATAGCACGAGCAAACCCAAAGTCACAAAGCTGTAAATAGGCAAGAAACAACATAAATGGAATTTCAACCATTGTAGCGCAATGGATAAGAATCACAACTTGAAGACAAATAACAGTGGATAAGTGAACATTAAAGGCAAGAATCAATGCCGTCAGAGGAAAGCTCATTCTAATAAAATGATTAGCCACATCATACTATAAGAAACTTAACTGAAAAATTGAAACATACCAGATGGAATCGCATTGAATCATGAAAAATAGGGTTGTGTGTACATTAGGTATAGCAAATAACTGACAATTCGACAATAGATTAGCTACAGCAATACCTTGAAGCGTCTACTGTACATTGCACACTTAGAAAAACTTATGACGGTCCTAATAAAAACTTCAGGATTCAGGAATGCAAAAAAAAAAAAAAAACGATAACACATTGACAGATTATGTGTGCTAACATGGAACAGAAATTACCTTTACAATAGATCCTTTCCCGATAAGGATGTTCTGAGGTTTCATATCCCGGTGAATAATTCGATTGGAATGCAAGTAATACAATGCTTTCACCTGTAATGAAATGTGCTGAAACCATGAAGGGAAGTTGGCCAAAACAACTGGACTGCTATGGCGCGGGAAGAACTAAGTGCATACCAGCTGCTTAGCAATAGCCTGAACTTGTTCTTCTGGAAGGCATTTATCATCCTCGAGCACCTCAAACAGTTCTCCCTGAGACAAGCATTTTCACTGAAGTTAGCCAGCTCCAAACAATTGAAACCAGTCAAAGATGAGAAAGGACAAGGTAAGCAAACTGAGTTCTTGTGTACCTGAGCAAACTCTGTGACAACACAAAACTCCTGAGGGGTTTCAAAGGCATCGATCATTTCAATTATGTTCTCATGCTTGAGTTTCCTTAGGATCTACAGAATTGTGTACGACAGCAAGCAGTGAGATGGTATTACTATAATGAGATAAGAAACACTATTGCTTAACGCTAATTTGCTATGTACTACAGTTGCAAGCACAGCCGAATCGCAAGCAGACACCACACCAGAATTATAGTTTTCATAGCCACTCCCAATTCTTTGTTTAACAACAAAACACCCAAATCCGAAGTACATGTAGAAGAAAATAGAAATGGTTTACCTCAATCTCCTGCCTAAGGTTGTGTATATCCTTATCGGTCTTCCCGTGCTTAAGAATGAACTTCATGGCGACCGTCTGAATTGGAAGCAAAACAGGAGAAAACAACCTCTATGAAATCCAAATCACACAAAGGAGTTCATGTAATCATCAGATGGGCCCAAATCGAGCGGGTCCAGCACACTGGAGGAGAGGGGACGCTGACCTGGCGAGTGTACTTGCGCCTGCCCTTGTAAACCTTGCCGAAGGAGCCCTCCCCGACGAGGTCGATGACATGGTAATCCTCTATCCCCATCTCGTGCCCAGCAGGCGCAACAATCTTTGCAAAATCAAAGTTAGTCGGCAGAAGATGCTTGTAAATAGATCAGATCCGATTACAACTAGCCGTTAGGGTTTGGATGCTCGGTGTCGCACAGCGGGAAGGGGAGAAAAGGCGGCGGGCGTACCTGGTGGGTGCTCGTCGCCGGCGAAAGACCAGACGAAGGCCCGGGCACCTGGCGTAGGGCGGCAGCGGCGGTCGCCCACTCGGTTTTTTTGAAATTTTGCCCGCTCCTCAGTCGTCGCCACTCGCGAGAGAGAGAGAGGCTGAGTGAAACAGAGAGAGACAAGCGAGCACGCGGCGGAGTGAACGGGAGAAGAAAATTTGAACAAAGGTTAATTATAGTTCAGCAAGAACTGGGCTTGGAGTCGAACTAAAGCCCAATAAGGCTTGCCCATTCTAACTGAACAGCCCAGCCCAGACCATCTTTGCAAAGATCACAGGCACCGTGTCCGTGAGTCCCGACCGCAAAATTCAAATCAGTTCAAGCTACGAACCATTTCAATGGCTACCTGTTCTTCCCCACCCCTCCACCCCAAACCCTAGTACCCCCGATCCAGCAGCCGCCCCCCTCCATCCCGAGCCCAAAACCCTCTCGAAAATGGCGGCGCCGGCGCCGGCGCCGATGCAGCTCAAGGTGCGTGTTCCGGAGAACGAGGAGGTCGCTCGCTGCCTCCACGAGAAGCGGCTGTCGATGAGGGAGCAGCCGGCCGGTTTCAAGGAGCACCTGGACCGCACGTTCGCCAAAGCCTACCGCAATGTGTGCGCCGCCAGTGAGCCCATCCGGACTCTGAAGGAGTTCTCCAAGATCAAGTATCAATTCTTTTCTCCTACTTCCCCAATCCATTCTTTTTTGTCCGTTGCTGAGTGAATGCTGCATTGAGACAGGACAGGAGTTTGATTGTTTTTTTTTTGTGCGGTTAGTGTTGGTGGGAATTGAGATTCTCTTATTTGAGCTGTAGTTAGACAGGAACCGGATCTAATAAGCTGTGATTTCAGTAACATTTCAGGATTTCTGTGGTTAGCTTACTTTCATATCATGGGCTAATATCAGAAATTTGTGTTTGCATTGCTAATCAATTCTGTAGTTTTTGTTAACCCACAAGCCACAATGTGCATTATGATTCTACATACATATATTTGTTATAAACTCCTTTTTTTCGTGAAAGAAATATGGTACGTGCTATTTGGAAATACAGTTCTGGACTTTTTGAATAATTTTGATTTACATAGCTGGATGTTTCTGATATTTTTTTGAAAGTATGGATGTTTCTAATATTCTCTCACTGTTTACAGTGGTGTGGGACCATGGCTAATACGTTGTATGAAAGGCTTCTTTCCAGAGTCCAAACAGGATTCTCCAACGAAAGGTATATGTAGCAGGAGAGTATGATAACCGTTTTCATGCTTAACTGGGTGTGTTTGAAAAGCCTGTCCTGCTTTTTCCTTTAGGCACCAATTCTCTCTTCTGTAGAATGTGAAATGGTTTTGTTTATTTTAACAGGAAAGAAAACAAGAGTACCAAAGTGCCCTAAGCCAAAGAAGAACACTGCTGCTGCTGCTTCTCTTGGTAGCATTATGCTTGCTATTTCGATAGTATAATATCCATAAAAAAGCATTATACTTCTTGTTTAATTCCAATACTTCTTTTGAAGGCAAGGGACTTCCTCCTAACTTAAATTGTCAGAATGTTCAGTTTACTCCTCCATTTTCATCCCAAGGAACATTGGACCTGCAATCATCTGGTGAAACGGTATATTTGACTTTTCTATGGATAAACCATGTGCTGCAGTGCTGCACAGTACTGTACCTTTTAGAATTTTCAATCAGAATATACTGATTTTTTTTGGTCCCAGGGTTCGGACTTCAATATGCTAGACAAGGATGTTGTATCAATGGACAGTTGTATACTGGCTATGCCACCTCGTCAATCAGGTGAAGAGTTTCTTGAAGCTTACCAGGTTGTTCTGATATTGGATGATCGTGAGAATTTCGGGTTTGTATGACCGTATCCTACTCATATAAGCATTATATTTGTCCAGACACATCAAAATTTTGTTCTCATGATTGTTAAATTTTTGCATAGGTATTCCTCAAGAAAAGTTGCTTCAAAAAAGGTTGCTGATAACATTGCTTCGCAGTTTAACGTACCTGTAGAGGTTAGTTATAAACTGACTCTGATTAAATTTTTCGTGGCCTACAATCCTACATACTGTTTCCTAAGTTCATAAATTTGTGGGGAACCTTGCAACTTGTATGATTGTAACTTGCTTATAAATATCTTGAACACAAGCCTGTTGGTGATGTACCAAATGTGTTTGTTCTTTTTGAACATATATAAAAAGAAGGGTTATGATGCTATATTCATCATTTTGTGTTGTGTTCCGCAGAAAGTGATTATTCTTCTTCTGTTTGAACCTTGTCATCCAGGTTAAACGTTTGCCTGTAGGTGATGGCATTTGGATCGCTCGTCATAAAAAGTTTCTGACAGAGTATGTTCTAGATTTCATTGTTGAAAGGAAAAATGTTGCAGATTTAGGTAGCTCAATTAGAGATAATCGATACAAAGATCAGAAAACAAGGCTGCAGGTACTATATGGACTTGCATTGACTACTTGTTATTGTTATAGACCTTGAATGTCATTTCCCTCTTCTCTGTACCTTCATTTTAAATTGTTAAATATTCCATGTCTCTGTTGTTACTTGTTTCTTGTGATGACCCCATTCGGTAGTTGAGTCTGGAAGCTAATCATTAAAAAAAACTTTATCTTTTTGTCGCTATTGTTTTTCATTTGCAAACGGTTCACCTATGCAGCAATGAAATTGATGGTTAATATCATGTGTGTGTTTAGCATCATTATCATTGTGGCAAATGTAGTAGTCTGTCAAAGAATTCTGTGTAACTTATTTTGCATGTCACGGTACTATTGTAGGTAGTGCTGCTATTAAAAATGGATGTTTTTTTAACTTTTGCTACGGTAGATGATGTGTAGAGAAATGCTGATAATGAGGAGATGAAAGGGTATTTTGTCCCTTGGGGCAGTGTATTTGGTCTAGCTTTTCTTGTGCTTTCTCTAATACAATGATGTACAACTCTCCTCCATGTTCGAGAAAACGATGATAAAGGGCATGAGAAAACATATGCTTGGTCCTGGACAAAATGTTTTGTTGTCCTTATTTATTTGAGAAACAATATGATGAGATGCGTTCATTTGTTGTGCCTTGTAGAAATGCGGGTTAAAGAAGCTCATATATCTTGTTGAAGGTAATCCAAACACTTCAAAAGGATCAGCAGCAAGCATCAAAACAGCGTACAAACACTGCTCATTTCACATGAATTGATAATGTTAAATATTTCATATTACATGAATTATTTAAGAAAGCATATATGTGACCTTTTAGCTGTGCCATGTCGTTTATTTTCAGTTGCTTCACCACTGAGATTTTTGAAGGATTTGATGTTATCCGTACCAGTGGGTATACTGATACCATGAGAACATATGGTTATCTTACACTCTCAATAATTGATTACTACAGCACGAATTTCCACAGTCTTGCTAAAAGTGAGTGTATATGCCCAACCTATGATGAGTTTGAGAGACAATGTCGTTGCCTTCAGAAGAAAACAGTGAGCCAAATATTTGCTCTGCAACTTATGCAGGTTACATGTCAATATAAGCCCTCTTTACAAAAGTTAGCCAGCTGCTTTATGTGATGTCATAGTTGAATATGAGATATTATCCTCATCAAACATACATGCAATGCAATGCAGGTGCCACAAGTAACAGAGAAAGTTGCATTAACTGTTATAGAGTTCTATCCAACTCTTTTCTCACTCGCAAGGGCGTACTCCATGCTTGTCAGTCTTCTCTTAGTTCTAATTTTCATTTTACTTTTCAAGTTATAACACTTACTCATTGTCATAACACTTGTGCATTGACATTTCTGTGAACTAAAATTTTACCTTTATGATTTTGAAGGAAGGTGATATCCATGCCCAAGAGGAGATGTTGAAGAACAAGAGCAAGATGATAAATGCAGGGGCTAGTAGAAACATCTTCAAGCTTGTCTGGGGTGATGGATGTCAATCTTCAGGGCTCAGTTTGGACTAACCGACTTAATTGAGTATATCACCACCTTGGTGATCTCGAGCCATATTTTTGTGTGGTTCACTAGCCCCTTATGCTCAGATATTCAATTGCAAGGCTTTCGTATTCTGAAGGCAAATGATCTAATTGAACACTGACCGTTCTGGAGCATGTAGTCACCATGAAAGTGTCTGAAAGTGCCTCCCTGTTGTGGTCTCCAGGTTGCACAAGATGCAATGTTCTTGGGATGAGATGTGTAGTGTTTCATTATCATCTGTTGACTTCTGCTCACTTGCTTGCATTATGAGATGTCTCTTGTTATCTTGTCGGGGTTTTTCCTGTTTACACGGAAAATCGACCCTATAATATTGCAATCTTCATCCAGAGTTTTGATTTCATCCACGAGCTGAAAGCAGTCCTTGCCGGTTGTTTCAACTAAGTGTGCACATCTTTGCTTGAGCTGTTGAGCTTCTGATGTTGCCACGCCAGTAATGTAGCCTTGGAATTATTATTGTAATAATATGATGAAAATGTATGTATGTGATCTGTAGAAATTACTGACAGCAGTACAAACTACTACCATCATTTTACTGCACTGGTATATTTGTTGAGCGTGGTGGAGCATGTATAAGATTGAGATATCATAGCCTCGCATCTTGTCATGTAATCAAATCACTAAGTAGCAATCATAAGATTGCAAAATCAACAGCTGTGAAAGCTAATTGCTACTTCCCCATTGCAAATTATCATAGGTCTCTTTGGCTTAGGTTATAAATTTTATAATTTTGGCCAAGTTTTCTATACAAAAAATATCATCTACACTATCAAATAGATGCAATGTAAGAACATATTTCATGGTGTATTCAATGAAACTAATTTGATTGTAGACGATTGTACACTTTTTATAAGACTTGGTTAAAGTCGGACCAGTTTGACTCGACAAAACTAAAGTGATCTATTAATTTATGTATTTAAAATGAAGGAGTGTTCTGATAGTAGCTCTTTCCTTTGTTATATATCTTTTATTTAGTTCTTTTATTTGCTTTGAAAAAAGTCTATCTGACCTCCTCCACTTTTGTCAAAGCGCGAGCCACCTCCAACAATCGGAAAACTAGTTTTTTTGGTCATCGATTTTAAAATCGTCTGATTTTGCTCCCACGATAGTTTTAAAAGCGACTTTGGCTAACATGGCGCCACGTCAGTCACGAGTGAGATAGATCGACTTATATTGCCATATAGTCTTTAACTTATAAAAAAATAGTTTTTTGAAAAACTTATCTATTTTTTTCTTGAAAAAATATGCAATTAAAAAACACAAGTCCGGTTTAATCTTACGGCCCATTTGGGTCCCCAATTGAAATGCATTTCCATCATACTTGAGTAGGCACACTCTATAGTGCTCTTTCGATGGTGCCGTGGTTTAGGAACAAGTCTGCTTCGAAGGATGGGGCAGCGGGAGAGTAATAAGTAGTAGAACAAAATGGAAATGGACTCCACTTTTGAAGCCATGGATCTCACCTTGGTCTGGTGAGCTTAAGTGGAATTGACTAGATTGTTCATTTCTTGTCTAAACAAAAAAAAAAGGTTGCAACCATATCCACCTTCTGATCTTGAGTATAGAACTCAAAGTCACTTGGACCCGTCAACATAGATTAACTATAATAGATAAAAGAATATCTACTAGTGGATTAACACAAAAAAAACATATAAGATTCAAATAATTCTAAACTAGGCAACATAAGAAATAGCATAATTTTAGAAAAAAAGCTAAATTTGGTTTCGTACTTTTTTCGAGCCAAAGCAAGTTTTTTTAAGGAACAACTGAAGCAAGTTTTATATCATCTTTTTAAGATTAAATTAAGTCTAGGATTTTAATTGCATATCTTTCCAAGAAATATTTGGATATTTTTCTATGTTTTTTTATAAAGTATATTTGACCTTCTTGAACTATCAATATGGTTTGACATTTTTTTTCGTGGCTGACGTAGCGTCATGTTAGTCAAACCTGCTCTCAATCCTACATAGAGAGTAAAATTGAACGGTTTTGATAATAGAAGATAAAATAGCATAAAAAATCGATTTCCCATTCGAAGGAGGTGCGATTCAGATTTCAGCAAAGTTAGAGAGATGAAATGAACTTTTTTCTTTTGTTTTTGATAAAAAGAGGCTGAGGTGGTTCGTACTGGTGGGTTGGGTTTGAACATTGGGCCTGAAGCGTGAGCCCAACTAGGCCTGGCCTGCGATGCGTTGGAGGGAATGAACTTTGATCCTTGTCTGAGAAGCTCATCATCGTCATCAAAACTTCCAAAACCCGAAAACTCCAAACCCCCTCGAATCACCCCGCAATGGCGGGCTCTTCCTCCTTCCCGCTCCGAAACCCCAAACCCTAGCTTCGCGCACTGATTCCCGAATCCCCAATCCAGCTATCCGCCTCCACTGCCGTGCACCAATCCCCGAGCGATCACGATGCGGCCGCCGCCGAAGAAACCAAAGGAAGTGCAGCCGGTGCCGAAGCAACTCAAGGTGCATAACCCGGAGAATGAGCCCCTCTCTCGCTTCTTCCTGGAGAAGTGGCGGGCGATGATGCAGGAGCCGGACGGGCTCTCGCCGAACAACTACCTCGCCTTCGCCAAAGCCAACTGCAGCCTCTGCTCCTCCAAGGAGCCAATCCGGACCCTCAAGGACTTCTCGAACGTCAAGTAACTATATACTTTTCTGAAATCCTTTCCATGAAAACCCCCGCCCCCCTCCTCCCTCTCTCTCTCATGATATTGAAATGCCCCAGTTGAAGCTACCGTTTGATGGTTTTTGTTTCGTGCCAAGCGGATGCCTTGTTTTGGCGAGGATGTTTCATTTCGAGCTGACATTACAGAGAAAATGGTAGTTGAAGGCTCGTTTCTGCTTACTCCTAATGGTTGAATACCCTAAGACGAATGAATTGGTTTGTAATTTTCTGTGTAGACATGTTCATTTCACTAATTGGTATTCTAGGTACATCCGCAGTTCTAACAGGCTTAACAGCTGTATACTGTTAGACATGCGAATTTGTTTGTTGTTTTGGCATGTAGTGAATAGTGATGTAGCTGTGTTCTTATCTAATCGGAAGTGAGGGCTCATCCCCGTTCTGGTTGACTTGAACACCTCAGGAACTCGCTGGTTATTTTTAAATTTTAGAATGTAACATCGTATATTTGAGCCTGCAATGTTCAGTTACTATGTAAGGTCTGCTAGGCTGCTATATCGACATTGTGATTTCTCACCCAAACATAATCCATTAGAAACCAGAAACCACCATTTCTTGTTAGATTTGAAATTTCTTTTTTCAACCTAGTGCTATCTTATAAATGAGGGTCTGACTTCTGAACTTTGCTGTATCATAAGGCATTTTTTCAATGTAGTGTTGCATCATAAAGTGTATCTTTATTGTGCTTTACCATTGTTGTCAGGGGTGTGGGACCATGGCTCATACAACATATGAAAAGTTTCTTTGCAGAGTCGAATCAGGATTTATCTCCTGCAAAAGGTAATGTTTCACTATTTTTATGGTTGACCGTGAGTTCTTTGAAAACCCTCTTTCTCTGAATGGCGTCATTTGTTGTTATAGGAAAGAAACCAAAAGGGACAAAAAGTTATTTACCAAGGAAGAACACTGCTGCTTATGCCATACTAATAACACTCCTTAGGTATGATTTCTTGAGGTATATACCGTATATGTTGTCTACAAAAGACAACTGTATTTTTAGTAGGGAGGTTGAATATTGATGTTTATTCATCGGGGGCAGGAGAAAAGATACCTAAGTTTTCAAGAAAATATTTCTGTATTTTTAGTAGGGAGGTTGAATATTGATGTTTATTCATCGGGGGCAGGAGAAAAGATACCTAAGTTTTCAAGAAAATATTTAAGATAATATAACAATGGAATTTTCCTATAGGGCAAAGGCTAACGGGAAAGATTTTATGATGAAACAAGAGCTTATTGATGCTGCTGAAGCCAGTGGCCTGTCACGAGACGCGATTGGGTACTCTTTCTCAGTGATTTCCTGCTGTTTTGGTACTCCTGCTATGTTTGACGTGTTACTAAGTAGCTACTTTTCATTTTAATCAGTCCAAATAAAAGTAAAGCAAAACAGAGTTACGGGAAGGACTGGTACACTGGTTGGAGCTGCATGAAGACACTGCTCTCTAATCGACTTGTCACCAAGTGGAGTAACCCAGCAAAGTAATACACGACATTCTCATTTTCCATTTGTGTGGGTCCTATACACTCATTCCACAGTTATTAATTTTTTTTGGCAAAGTAATACTTGACTGTACAAAAGGTTACACACTTACACATAAATCCTCATGATATAAGTAAATTTAGAACTAAAACTGGAGTTAGCTTTGAGCCCTTATCTGTTTGCCTTAGTGATGGATGAGGTCACAAGAGACATACAAGGGGACATTCCTTGTTGTATGCTTTTCGCGGACGATGTAGTGTTAGTTGATGAAAGCCGGACAGGAGTGAATCAGAAACTGGAGTTATGACGGGAGACTTTGGAGTCCAAAGGTTTTAGACTCAGTAGAACTAAAACTGAGTATATGAGATGTGACTTCGGCACTACTACTCGGGAGGAGGAAGATATTAGTTTGGAAGGTCAAGTAGTGCCTAGGAAGGATACCTTTCGATATTTAGGATCAATGCTACAAAGAGACGGGGATATTGATGAAAATGTTAGCCATAGAATCAAAGCAGGGTGGATGAAGTGGCGCCAAGCATCTGGTGTCCTATGTGACAAAAGGGTACCACAGAAACTAAAATGCAAGTTTTATAGGACGGCGATTAGACCTGCTATGTTGTATGGTGCAAAATGTTGGCCTACGAAAAGACGACATGTTCAACAGATAAGTGTCGCGGAAATGCGTATGTTGCGCTGGATTTGCGGTCATACAAGAAGGGATCGAGTTTGGAACGATGATATACATGATAGATTAGGGGTAGCATCAATTGAAGAAAAGCTTGTCCAACACCGGTTGAGATGGTTTGGACATGTCCAACGGAGACCTCCAGAGGCACCGGTGCGTACTGGAATCCTAAGCCAGGATAGTAATGTGAAGAGAAGCAGAGGCCGAAGTTGACTTGGGTAGAGGCAATAAAAGAAGACTTGAAAGGATAGAATATACCCAAAGACTTAGCCTTAGATAGTAGTGCTTGGAAAACAGCTATTCACGTGCCTGAACCTTGATTGCTTCTGCTGGGTTTCAACTCTAGTCTATCCCAACTTGTTTGGGACTTAAAGGCTTTGTTGTTGTTGTTGTATAAGTAAATTTAGAGAAACAAACCCCACAGCTTGTTATAAGTACAAATTTCATATAGGTATATCTTTTGGCTCTGCAATTTGCTGCTGCATTACACAGCATGATGGCATCAATGCTAGCATTACACACTGTTAAAACGATCTGTAAAGAATCCAGCAGATTTGCTTCCAAGGGCTAGAGACATTATCACATCAATATTGCTAGAGTTGTGAGAATCCATTGCTAGGCTAACCCTAGAAGGGTAGCAATATATATTAGTCATACATGGGCCTCATGGGCCTAATATACTCATACTCTCATACTCCAACAAATATTTTTTCTTTTTTGTTTGAAGGAGGAAACTCAATATGCTAACACAATAAAGTGATTTTGTATACTAGCAAATAAATTGGCCATTTCATATTAGATTTTGCTGTGGGCATTTGGAAACCTAATGATCTCTTTCCTTCTGCAAATGGTATTGGAAGATTTTATTTAAGGTTAACTACAGTATAACATTAACTCTATCATGGGTTAGTGGACCTGTAAAGGCCGCAGTAGGTGCAACACCAGCATGATTCTTAGACCTACCATCTTTTTTGTCATACAAACTGGATCCCATTCTGATCCATCTTGGTATTTAGTTATCTCCTCTGGTACAGTGGTCTTTTATTTTGTGTCCACTTTTTATCATGTGCAGTAGTTGAAGGGGAAGGCACATTATGTATCTACTTTGGTTTTTGTTATAAGGCATCCACATTCTTTTGAGATGCTAAACATCGGTTGGAGCTGACTAGGTGAGTTTTGTAGGTATATGCTAACTCAAGAAGGGGAAGGCACTGCGCGTGAATGTCTTTCACGGTCTGGATTAGATGATTCTCACGACACATCTGCTATGAATCCTTCTGTTGCCAGGCACAGTCCTGGGCTTGTCGGTGGCAGTTCTCTGACAAAAAAGAAGAGCGGTTGCTACCGTCAAGTTCAAACTACTGTAAGGACTACCTTTTTTCAAAACTGCTTTTGTTTCCCGTGCTAACAATAAGATACATACACAGACCATTTCACAGATTCTTCTGTATGTTTAGGTATGATGAAAGACATAAAGGCGTGCTCTGATAGTCTTCTTCAGTTATTATTTGATGAAGTTTTCCGTTTTTATGTTCTAGCCTTCTGTCTTGGTCCTGGTCTGACACAAACAAAAGTACTTTTCAGTTTTCAAACATCAATAGCAGAGCGATGTTTAACTATCAAAACATTACTTAAAAGCACGTAGTCTTTCATATATTTAGTTTAGTCTACATACTTACATGCTCCGGCAGAATAATGTAGCTACAACAATAATGTGACACCTGACAAGGAAATAATTTCGATTCTTTAAAATCTTTTTTGTCCATGCGAGCTATATGTATTCCCTGAGATTAAACCTTTTACAATTTATAAGGTGGTTTTCTAACTTTCTTTTTTCTTAATTACAATTCCTTCTTATAATAAAATGATACCCCTCATCGAATATGTGACTGTAGATTTGCTTGCACTAGTAATTTAAATATACTGTTTACACACAGTTGATATAATTTCAGCTAGTATTTCAATTTCTTGGTATATTTTTCCATAATTGTAGATCTACAATACATTCGTAACTTACGGTTTCTCTATCATGTGTAGAATTACGAAGGAATCATCTGCTGTGATTCAGATTCAGATTCTGATTCAGAAGAGCCATGTGGAAAGAACATTCCCCTAAAAGGTTTCAATTGGTTTTCTGTTCATATCACATAAGTTCTTGTAGAATTATGCTTACTTTTTTGTTCCACTGCTCTATTTTATTCTGGCTACTAGTTGCGTGTTCTAAAAAAATTACCGAAAGGGGTGTTCTACCAAAACTGAAAACATGCAATCCTGTTCTATGGATATCACTACGTTTTCTATTTAGATTGTACAAAAATATCGAAACATTAGTGTCATTCCCTACCAATCTTCCTGGTTGATTCATATACTTCAATGCAGGCAAGGAGCCTATTACTAGTTGTGGACTGCCAGATATTCCTCTTCCATTCCAAGGAACACCCGAGCTGCAATCTTCTACAATGGTATGCTTGACTTTTGATGGAGAAACTTTCTCGACAAACCTTCTTTTTCCTTAAAATTTTCAATTCAAACATACTGTTATTCTGCATCTGCTGCTGCTAGGGTTCTGCTAAACTAGCTATGCCACCTCGTCGGGCCAATGAAAACTTCCTTGAAGCTTATGAAGTTATTTTAATATTGGATGATCGTGAAAAATTCGGGTTTGTATCATCATATCCAACTCTCACAAAGAAATTTTGTATCTACTTTTGTATATTTGTAGTTATCTTTGATCTTAGGTGGGATATCTCATTCAATGATATTAAAAGAAAAATGGCCCTCTGCTGTTCATTTTCCATAATTTGTTCAAATTATCATGAGGAAGGTTACCTTATGCAATGTTTGTAACCTTGATACAAGTTTCATTGGTTATGGCTGGTCTGATTTACCATTCTACTCCCTCCGTTCCAAATTATAATACGTTTTGGCTTTTCTAGATACATTGCTTTTACTGTGCATCTGGACATAGTGTATATCTAAATGCATAGCAAAAGTCATGAATCTAGAAAAGCCAAAATGCCTTATAATTTGGAACGGACGGAGTATTTTGTACGAAACTGTAATATATGACTTGACTTCCATAGGTTCATAGATTATTAAAGAAAAAAATGATGTTTTGTTATTTTTTAAAAATAATCTTGTTATGACTGCTCTGCATTGTTTTTTGTTGGAATTCAATATATTTTCTCTGCATGGAATTGGTTCTCATGTATTTTATTTGTGTAGTTGGATGTGCCATCATTGGAATTTAATGTGTTTGCTTTGCGTGGAATCGGGTTCTTATATTTGTTATCTGTTTGTGCAGGTCTCGTTCAAGAAAAGTTGCTGATAACATTCGTTCACAGAGCCATTTTGGTGTAGAGGTTAGTTGGGATCAGAGTTTGCGCACTCTTCTATATCATGTCCTACTTTCTCTCTGCTGTAGAAATGAAAATGGGGGCATAGTTATACTGATTAGGGATATCTCATATATGATGCCAAACCTAGAGCCCAGAGCTTGACACACAATTTCATTTGCCACTACATTTTCCCGCTTTCATGTTTATGCCTCTATTACATAGTTTGTTTCAAAATATGCCATTGGAGTCCTAATTCCTTCAGCCAAGGATCTTTGAAAAAATATTTAAAAACTCTTAGAAATGAAAAAAAGGGAGAATGACATTAAATACAGTGAAATTTTGGTAGAAATAAGAAGATAACTTGGTTGATATTTTTGTCTGTTTCAACCTCATGCTCACAGCCTAGAGTGTTTGCTTCCTTGTGCTCAAGGTGGCAGGTGGCATCAATGTCTAATGTCACATTGTGAACAGTGCTGCAAGTCATTGGATTAAATTTTTTGTATAAATGTCTAGAATTTATCCTCTTGGATATAGTTTTTGTTCTTTTTTAACATAAGAAAGGTTGAGGTGTGATGCTTGATTGATTCGTTTGTGTTGCCAGAGAAAGTGGTGTTGATTCTTCAGTTTGGACCTTGTCCTTCAGGTTAGACAGTTACCTGTGGGAGATGGTATTTGGATTGCCCGTCATAAGGAAGATCACACAGAGTATGTTCTGGATTTCATTGTTGAAAGGAAAGAGGTTATGGATTTAGATGGCTCAATTGAAGACAACCGATACAAAGATCAGAAATTCAGGATGCAGGTGCCTTCTGAACTTGCATTTGCTTCTGCTGTTGTTATAACTTATAAACCTTGAACCTTCACTTCTTTTTCCTTATTTGTACGTTCAGCTGATGACACTTATACTATTATTATTTCCTTTTTATTCTTTTATTTGTATTTTTTCCTTTCTGTTGGTGTCTCATGTTGGGTTTTATCTCTAGCCTACCCCAACTTTCGTGGGACTGAAAGGCTTTGCTGTTGCTGTTCTGTTTATTGGTGAATTACCTATGCTGCAATTAGATTGATGTGTAAAATCATTTGTGTTTGGTGATGAATCATGATCTCATATGTGGCAGTCATTGAATTGAAAGACTATAATGTCATATATTTTGAACCGAAAGAAATGTCAAATTTGATAAGGAGTGCTCCAATTTGAGTTGCATTTTTGCACCTGTTGGATGTGAGGATGTCATTGGCCAGTCCAATATGTCCCTGTTCTAACCTTTCACAGAGGTTATGTTTTATTCTTTTGTTATCTTGAATTTAAAGGCATAAAGTATCTCATCCCTGGCAATGACATGACAAAGGGTATGGTGACTTAAACTTAAGCATGAATCTATAAATTGTAAACCTTGTCACTGACATCGTATCTGTTACATATAAAAAAAAACATTGTGTCTGTTGTCCACGTTGATGGATCTGCAGAGCTTATCAAGTTCCTCTAGCATATATTGTTTATTTTAGCCACAGCTTGACGCGATACTTTCATTTGTTATTCCTTTGTAGAAATGCGGGCTGAGGAAGTTGATATATCTTGTTGAAGGTGATCCAAACCGTGCACCACAGAGGGTTAAAACAGCGTATGTACACTGCTCAGTCACCTGAGCGATCAATATAATGCTGACAGTGATACATTTAACCCTTAGTTTACACCTTGTTACTATTATTCTTCCCACTAATATGTGGTGTCAATATTTGTTAACTATGGAATATAATATTTGGGGCATAAGATGTATGGTTTTTTTAATTGCTTTGCCATTTATTTTCAGCTGTTTCACCACTGAGATTGTCGATGGATTTGATGTTCAGAGAACTACTGGGTTTGCTGATACTCAGAAGAGATATATTGATCTTACGCATTCAGTAATAGCATACTATGATGCAAATTTCTCGATTGTTGGTAAAACTTCTCATGTTTGCCCAACCTTTGATGAGTTTAAGAGAAAGTGTTGTGAGCTTAAGAAGAAAACAGTGAGTGACATATTTGCCCTTCAGCTTATGCAGGTAACTTGGCAATACTTAAAGAAAGTTAGTTAGCTGGTTCATTCGATGTCATGGTTGAATGCAAATTTGTCATGAACGAATATAAATACAATGCAGGTGCCAAAAGTAACAGAAGAAGCTGCACAAGCTGTTGTAGAGCTCTATCCAACCCCTTTCTTACTGGCAAAGGCATACTCGATACTTGTAAGTCCTCTGCCTACTAAATGTTTTGTTTCCATTTATACAGGTCACAATTGTTACTCATGTTCAGAACAAAATGGCTGTAGTACATTCCATCTCCTTTGTGTTGCAGTGCTCTTGTGTCCCGTAAAATACTTGTAACACATCTGTGAACCAGAGCTAACCTTCGCCATGTTGTAGGATGGTGATATCCCTGCACAAGAGAAGATGTTAAAGAACGAGAACGAGATGGTAAATGCAGGAGCAAGCCGAAACATATTTCACTTTGTCTGGGGTGATGGAGGAAATACTCTGGACCCAGTTCCGAACTAACTGAACTTGCTGGCTTATGTGTCACCGCCTTGGTGATCTTGGCGCCATCTTTTGTATAGCTCACTAGCTAGCTCTGCTATCTCCAAGATTTAGCTGCAAGGCTCTCATGTTATGAAGCAAATTACGCCGTAGAACACTAAAGATCTCGGAGGATGTAGTCACTAGGAAAAGCCTTGACATAATTCCACGTCGCGTTTAGAGTACTCTGCTGTGGTGTCGTGATTGTACAGTATGGGAGTATCGTGGAATGAAGTGGACTCTTCATCACTCTTGGATTATGTGGTCGGGGTTTCATAAATATCGCTTACCCGGTTGTCTGGATTATGTGCTGTCTCGAGCTACCTCGGGGCTTTGTTTGAGTGTTAGTCGACAGGATGGCATAAATATCGCAGTGTGCCTACAGCCTACAGCCTACAGGGTATGGGTTCACTTCATCATCCATGTGCTGATATCAACAATAATCCATGGTCGGCGCCTTGTCTGGTCGGTGTTTGATGTCTGTTTGGTCATCTTTGGCTGAGAGGCCCTCCTCCTACAATGATCAGGTAAACAGAGTGTTGTTTTGGTAGCTTTTGATTCGAGCGTGAATCTCACGTCGACTTGGGATGGGCGGGTGGCTGCCATGCCATTCGTCTTGGTGCAGTTCAGTGAAAGGACTGCCGCTGGGTGCTGGAGATGTAGCAAGGACACTGGCTGGCAAGGTGGGGCAACGGATGGATGCTACGTCATCGACTGATACATATACGGCGGCGCACCAGAATCAGGTTGCATTCCAGTATCATATATATCCCTGTTGCAGCCGTAAGCAGTGCGTAAAAATGTTCAGTTAGATAATATAATTGCTAATCTGGTCGGCACGCCTTTTCATGGACTACTACTAATCCTAGAGTACTCGCTAGCAAAACGGCAGTAGCATGGACACCGGATGGCGGTTTTGAATGAATATTGAATATAGCAATAACGGCGGAAACAGAAAACAAAAATAGATCGCGCGCGAACAGCACCGGGCAGCAGCGTACCGCTTTGGCGAGTGGCGCCAGGCAGACGCAGGCGTGCCGCGTCGCGACACCGGGTAGAGAGGTGGCTCTGTTCGCTCGTGCTATTCAGCCGGCTTTAATCCGGTACCTCAACAGAGAGTGTAGGAATACGACGCCTGCTGCTGTCTGCTGATCCACGCCGCGCCACGGGTCCAAGCGAGCGACGCCAGAACAAAAGGATGCCTTGGCAGCTGCTGTCCGTCCAAACCAAAGCAAGAGCCGCTTCCGCTTGTCGCCGCGCCGCGCCCGAACCAACCCCCCCACACGCATCCAAGCCACGGGTCCGCTTCCGTTTGTTTGCTGCTGGTGGTGGCGTGCGTCCATGCCATGCGTCCCCGTCCGTCCGTCCAAGGGCATGGCAGGGCAGGACAAGGCGGGTGGGAACGAGAACAAGCCAGCGATCGCGGTCGGAGGGCAATCAAAGCAAGCAGCCGAGGTCAGGTCAGGTGGGGCGGTGATGAACTGATGGCTGGCCGTGGCCGTGTCCGATGGGCGCAAGCGCAAGGGTCCAAGGAGGTGCGGGGGCCTGAAATGGCCGCATGTGATGCGTCCAAGGCATCGGTTTCCGCGTGCCGACGACGCCCAAAGCCGAAGGTCACGTTCGCTCGGACGAATTTGAATGGTTCAGAAGAATCTACGAGAGAAAAATACTGTTCCGGATAAAAAAAAAACAGATCAAGTCGAGTTTAAGCACATGCGAACGGGGCCAAAAGCAAGCACCGCGACAAGGCGCGACAAGGCGCGGTACGGGCCAACTCGCGTGCACGCCTGCTAACCCTACTTGCTTGCCACCACTAGTTGCTTCTTGCTTGCTGGGAGAGTGGGAGTGGTACCCCAGCCGGTCCATACCTGCTCCCTCCTAATCCTAACTGTCTCGTTCTGTTCGCTTCTGTCTTGTTCTGTTCGTTTCGCGTGGCCTTGCCTGGCTTGTTAGCTCCATAGCTTTGCTAGCTGACCTACTCTAGCTAGCACCTTGTTTAGTTGCCCAAAGTTGACGCAGCTGTAAATTATTGTAATGATGTGCGTGTGATGCGTGGCTTCCTCGCGAAGCATTTCGCTTCTATTTGTAATAATTGTTTCAATGACTCTGACTAATTGAGGAGAAACGTTCGGACGGGACGAGAAAGACAACCGTCGACAATTAGTTATTGATTTGGATGGAACATTTAATCCTCGTGCATGATATGTCCCCTACAAATTTGATGCTGAGAGAATCTTATCAGGACAGCAAACAAAGTCTGTTTAGATTTGAGGTATTAAACGCCCCCTAGGTTCTAAGGTTCATCGTATACCTCCGATCCGTCCCTTCCTTCTGTAAACCGTAAATCTGCAATGCTAATGATGTGCGTGTGATGCGTGTTGCTTCCTCGCGAAGCGTTCTCGCTTCTACTGCTGCCTTGTTTCTGTGACTCTGCTCTTCACCGGGGGGAGAATGATTGGTCTTGGACGGACGGGACGAGGACGACGGCCGTCGACGCGTGCGGAGTCATTGCTCTTGGATGGATGGACCTTCAGTCGGTTCGGTAATCATGGTCGGTTTATTTGGTGTTGGTGAAAAAAAACATTGGTGATTAGTTTGAATGAGAGAAAAATCATTATTTCACAACTAGAAATTTACGATCATTTACGACAAGACACAGCCAAACGAACAGCCTCCTTGTCCTCGTGCATGACACGGTGTCCCCTACTCATGCATCGCGAGCTGCCAAAAGCACGCAGGACAGGCAAACGTAGGGTCTGCTTGAATTCTAAAGTTTGGTAGCTGGCTAAAGTTGAAAACTAAAATTTTAGATTATGGGTCTGTTCGTTGGTTGGTTTCTGGATTGATAAGTTTGGCTGGTGCTGGTTTGTTGTAAGAGGAAAACACTATTAGCTGGCTGATAAGGCCTGGCTGAAACCAATAAGCGAACAGACTGACTCACTTGTGTGATTTAAAACTGAGTAACTATACTTTAAAGCATGGGTCATGTCCGTTTCTTTTATAATCCGTTTTTTTCAGCTGATTTTTTTAGCCGAAACAGTATTTTTCTCTCACAACAAATCAGCTGAAACAATATTTCGGCATGTTTTTTCAGCGAAGCGAACGGGGCCATGGAATCAAACAGTTGGCAAACATATTCTATCTGCAATCTATGGAGACCATCAAACAAATAAACTAGATTAAACATATTTTATCTGGACCTCCTTCCTGTTTTGAACCTATCCTAGAATCTTGGTTATTTTCTCTCACAATAAATGGACCAGACACCGGCGATGAGGACAAAATTTAATTCAAATTAAACTTGAAGGTCCTATTATATCCTATGATTATCTTATTGCTAGGGAGTGTTTGGATCTGGCTACTAAAATTTAAGAGATGTGTTGGGAGGATGTTGCATGGGGTGTTCGGATATTAATAAAAAAGCAAATTATATAATCCGTCGGTACTCCACGAGATAAAATTTTTAAGCCTAATTAATCTGTCATTAGCACATATTTACTATAGCAAAACATTGTCAAATCATGTGCTAATTAGACTTAAAATATTCGTCTCACAAATTAGTCGCAAACTATGTAATTAATTTCATAATTATTCTATATTTAATACTCTATATATGTGTCAAACATATTCGATAATTTAGAAGGGGCAACACCCTCCGACACAACGACCTAAATTAATCATGGTACGAAGGTTATTATAAGCCACGTCTGCCGCTGCCGGCCCCGATATATTCATTTGGTCTATTTATAGAATAATGGCCATTATTTCACAACTAATAAAGTACTCATATATGCAGCACAAAAGCGTCTTTTAGCTAGTACTAGCTAGTGAGCATATATAGTGACTACAAGCCTATACAGAGAGTGTAGGAATATGACGCAAATGTTTATGCGAGTAACAGGATCAACACGAGCTATGTGTTGCATTCTCATCCCATGCATGTTAAGAAGAAAATATACACGCCAATTGTTTAAAGTCATCTCAGAAAATAACATGTTGCCGTACCCTGTACATATCTATTGCAGTTGCAGGCAGCGATAAATCCCAAGCAAGAAAATGCAAGTGACGACCTCATCGCAGATCGACTAATCTATTCTAGAACCTCTACCCACAAGAGGTTAGTAGACGACAGGCAATATCTTTGTCTTAAGCCAGTAGTACAGAAAAACTAATGAGAACAATTGTGGCATGAAAGCAAAGATTGGAGCGGTACGTAGCTTGATGCCTTGTCCTTCCTTCCTGTTCCTGGGAGAAAAATCCAAGATCTTGGTTTGGTTCCAACGACGCCACGCGATACTTTGGACCAGACACCTGCGATGAGGACAAAATTTGCTTCAAATTAAACTTGAAGGTCGTCGTTATTAATTACGTACACTATTCTACACCCCATGTGGTCAAAATCGATCAGACACCTCACCTCACCGCCTGCAGACGAAGACTTGCTGTTCCTGGAGGGAAATTACAGAAAAACGGTGTGCATTAATACGAGAAGGCGGAAGACCAAAGAGGATCGGAAGCTAGCTAGCTAATACTCCAAGGAAGCTAAGTGCTGATAATTAAGGATTCAATGCATGTAACGTATACAGATCTAACAGATGATAGCCTGGACTAAGTTAAGTTCCACTAGGAAAGTCCTAGGGGGAGAACCGACGACGACCTTATATTGTAAATTGTAATAAACGAAAGAAAAGGCATGTGGTTAGTTAAGGTAGGCGTCCTTCCTCTCCAGATGCTAATAAAGTACTAATGACATCGTGCAGGCTTCTGTACTGTGTGTATGAAAAGATTTTGAATTGCTTGGCTGACGACTTGTAGCGATGGACGGGTCGTTGCATGCATAGCGTTAGCCTGTTCGGCTGGGGCTGCGATCGTGGATTATTACTGCTGACTAATTTAATGTGAAAAAAAAATATTATTTTAACTAAAAATTTAGTATCGTTTACGATCAAGCGAACAGGCGGCGCATGCTTTTAGTTTTCACT